TGCATCCGTTATACAGAATTGGCGATGTATAACAGATTGGCAACTAAAAACATGCTATTCCATTAAATTTTGTCACGTTGCGGAAGTTAAGCCTGAATAAGAAGCTTGAAGCGTTGAAGGAGTTACTGAATTATTATATTTAGCGTGATTAGTATGAAAGCTAATTTTGTATGTTTGGAATGTTGGAAGACCTATTTTTCGATTACCTTTTGGATTACCACTGTAATGTAATCAAGAATACGAAAAGAAAGGACCAAAGTATGTTATTTTGCTGAATGCCTGTTAAAAGATGAACTTTTATGATAACTGTAAATATGAAATAAAAAAACGAATTTCTAAAATGGTTAATTAATTGATTATGAAGCTCTCGAGATTATTGAGGTGAGAATGCGTTGTGGAGAGCATGAATTTGAAAAGAAATTTTATGATAACAGTAAATATAAGATGAAATATCAAACAAAAATACATTTGGAAATAAATATAAAATACGGTTAATTGATTATTGCATGTTACAAGCACCTACAGCATTAATTTAAACTGTTCATAAACATCAACGCGAGTGAAAAAGAATTTCTATTTTCCCATACGCTTTTTCAAGTCCCTAGTAAATAAATTCTCACATATTTGGACACAAAGCTCATCCCATACGCTTTTTTTTAAGTCCCCAGTAAATAATTGCTTGCATAATTGGGCATAAAGGGAACACATTTCACACACTCCGCAGCACTTCACTTCGCTGATGTCTGAATTGTGAATTCATAGCCAAGGCAAACATACATAGATGTTCTTTGGCTAAGCGACAAAGCTTACAATGCTGAAAATATTCCTATTGCGCATAAATGAAGCGTTAACCATGCTAGGACAAGACGCTACTGCTTTAGAGCAGTTATTTTACCAGCGCAAATTAGTGAAAATCTGCTCTTTAATTGATATCGGTAACAATATGCCGCGATACTTCGAATTTCGCAATGTGATCCGGTTTAATAAAAATGTTCCGCTAAAGGCACTTCACGTAAAAATACATCAAGTGAGATTCCCAGAACAGAGATGTGGAAGAGAGAATATTTTCTCCTAAGTTTGAGAGATCAAACTAGAGTCCTAATGGATTGGAATATGAGATTAATTAAAAATAGATACTCAAAACACAAACAGAAAATTCAAATAGAGATGAACGTGCACCCCGCTTTTAAAATGTGAAAGCTTCCATATTCTAGACAATGTTTCAAAAGAGGTGAGAATCACAGAATCCCCGCCAAGAGCAAAACAATACAAAAATTTCTACCGTTTTGTTCCTGCAGTTCAATCCCCCTTTTTTCTTTGATGCAAACGAAACCAAGGAAAAATCATATATCTCTGTAATAATTTAACAACTAATTAATCTAGATTAGCAAATATAAGTTCACCAGAAAGGCAAAATGTTTATCTGTACTGTATATAAATTTCAAATACATAAATCAATAGTTTAAATTCAAACAATACTCAAAAATTACATAACACGCGTGTCTCTTTTAATCGAATTAAACTAAAAGCCGAGCAACTGAGTTTTCCAAAATAAGAAGGAAACTAAACTTGAATAAATTAATTAACGAAAACTTCTAAAAATAAGGAACTGGTAAATCTTTCTTAAAAAAATTAACACTCCTAACTAAAGTTACTATTGTATAGCTGAAATCCGGAATATGGTTAAAATGAGTTAAATTAGTTTGACTGCACAACAGAAATAGCGTTTTACTGAAAAGCTGTGTGCACAAATAATATAAATGCTTCCGTGCTGGTTGGGATAGCTTCAGAGACATACATTTGCCAAGTAGGTTCAGGCTCACCAGCGGCCGAGCGGTAAAGACGCTGAACACTGGTAGTTCGATCCGAAGTTCGAATCCCGCGAACGGGCTGGCTGCATGGGCGTTTTCGTGGTCTTCCCCATGTGTAACGATACGAGCCAGTTTCTCTTAGAAAGTCCTCCACGCAGGCATCCCTCCCTTTAGGCAGATAGCCCTCATGTGCTTTGCCATAATTGAATAACCCAATCCAATCCAAGTAGGCTCATGATATTTTGGACTGGTGGAAACGTTGGGAAAATTCGCCAACTCTTGATTGAAAATCATCGACTGAGGAGTTGAATGTAGGAGGAGAACACATGAGTGTTGCACAGAACTGCTTATTCAATTGTAATCAAAACGTTAAGCAAGCGTGAACTATGTATAATTATTGCCTCACGACTTGACTCCTGATCAGAAACAACATAGGATTTAGATGTGCAGATACTTAATCGACAATGGGAATAGTGACTCCATCTTTTCTGAACTGATTGTTATGGGTGATAAGTCACCCATAACAATTATTATTATACGCCAGAGAACAGGGTCTCCGTTGCCTTGCACTCTAGCAGACTGCCTTACACAGATTAAAGCCTCTGCCTCCAGAAGATATCTACTACACGCTCCACCACAACCGGGGTGGGTGGTAGGTGAGACTTCAATTACTAGTCTTGAAACAAAGTCATACATGGGCAAACAAAACCAGTGTGCAACAGAGGTTTCATTACATAGTCTGGATTTGCAATTTTTCTTCTAATACATACGACATTTATCACAGCTAATTTACAATCAGTCCTATTCGACATACTTCGGCCATAAATATTGATTTCAGACATACAATTTTACTCAGTTCTATAAATATTCCTTTGACCAGGGTTTTCAGAAAAATAAATAGTCTACATAAACATGCATCTTAGATATACAATTATAAGACATTTCTTATTCAGACAATTATATGCAATTTAACATTAGAATCTTAGGGATACGAAGGAAAACATTGGTACACCAGTCAATTTTAAGCCAAATCTTTTTTTTTCTTTTTTTTTTTCTTTCAAAAAGGACGTAGAGATTTAATTCTAGAAACCTCTAAATGCATCTTACCGTAAAATAGCAGAATTAAGTTAGATTTACAGCAGACCATAAGCAAAGTTCCCATTAATCATTACTATTAACTTCTTTAACCTATCAATACCTGAATACTATTGTTGCAATTTTAAACCAAGAGTATCAATTAGTTACATGATAACTATGCACTACAATAGTTGTGATATTTAATACATACTTTTATCATTCTATTAAATTTTAATTCGACTCAGATACTTCAAATACCAATATATATGCATATATATACACATGTGTCCACATGTTTCAAACACTATGACTTATTCCATTATTAACTGTCTCTTGAACTCTCTTGTATATATATATATATATATATATTCTTCTGGAACGAATTTTTACCGGTTTAGCCCAGAATGTTTTCGAACACAAGCCGAAAGCAATATACTCGTAAATCCTGCTGGTCCGCAGTCGTGAGGCAATAATTATACATAGTTCACGCTTGCTCAACGTTTTGATTACAATTGAATAAGCAATTCTGTGCAACACTCATGTGTTCTCCTCCTACATTCAACTCCTCAGTCGATGATTTTCAGTCAAGAGAGTTCAAGAGACAGTTAATAATGGAATAAGTCATAGTGTTTGAAACATGTGGACACATGTGTCATGTGTGTGAGGCATTAACCGCGATACACTACGAGACTCTTTTGGTGCACTCGACGACCCACTCGGCGCTGCAAGGCTGTCAACTCCGCAGGATTGACTCGCTAGACGAGACACCAACTCGCACTCCAGACGAGGTACTCTGACTCGCCCTCCCGACGAAGCACACTAACTGACTGCGGACCAGCAGGATTTATATTGCTTTCGGCTTGTGTTCGAAAACATTCTGGGCTAAACCGGTAAAAATTCGTTCCAGAAGATTCTCCTTCCGTCCATGATATATTGCCAATTTTGTCGCCAAATGGGCGATTTCTCGCCAAATATGGCAACCCTACATTCCTTGCTATTTTATGGCAACCCTAAAACTGCTTTGCTGGGAAGCCATCTTACGGCGCCTGTACATTTCGTAACGATATTAAAGGCTGCCTTCGTTTAAAGTATGTGAGACTCCTACACGTATTATCAGATGGGCATAACCATGGGAGGCAAATATTTTGAAGAATAATAAGCTGCATTCCTGCATACACGTACAGTCTTTCCTGCAAATAAATGACAAAATCGGTAATTCATTCTATTTATTGATCATAGATTGTAATTGAAAATCATTTTCAGGAAACCCTTTCGAAATTTAGAGCATATTTTCTTTTGTTGTATCAAAAGACTCAAAATGGTGAACACGAAGTAGCAATTTTAACTGCAAAAAGTTTTCTAAGAAAAGTGTCATGGCAGATAAGTATTGAGTTTGCTAAGCTATATTTATTGAATTTGCGATAAAAAGTTGCGATAAATGTCGAGGAACCAAGTGAATTATTAAGTGACTTATCGCTGAATTTAAATAACTAAAGACGTAGACTCAAGAAGGGTTATCTATCCTTTATTTCACTTAAAATACAGTCTTCTAAATACTAGATTTCTTCAAATGAGAGAATTTCAGTAAGACAGGGTGCAGTTTCACTTTCAACGGCTAGAATAGCGAACCTGCTGTTCACCGACGGGCTTTGCGGTCTTTATTCTCGTATCCTGAACTTCAACATCTTCAGCATTCTGTATTGGTATAGAATCCGGAACGTCGTTAAATGCCTTGCTTGCCTACACTTTTCAGCTGAGAACTGAATTTATTCTGAATTCACACACGATAACCATTATCTTTTGTAGAGGTTACTGACTGCGATCTCAGCCAAAAGTGTAAAAAACCTTAACAAACACTTTTGGGCGACTGTTAAAATCTAAAAACCTTTCGGAATTTTTTTTAAAATTTGGTAGAAGTTAAATATTTTGCTTGTAGTCATTACATATATATTTTAAGAGTCTCTATTGATTTAGGGAAGTGTTCCTTCATAAAATAATGTTAAAAATTATGCTTATATGTATTCTCCATTTTCAAAAGTAGTCGAGGTGGGAAAGTCTTGTGTATGATAAGATTTGTAAGTAATGATTGGCAACTGAGAGCATATTGTTTACCAAAAATGTCCACCGCGTGTGAAGTTGGAATGAATTCAATCTACAGTCACGAAAAAGAGCATTTGAAAGATTCGAAGCATAAATCTAACCGTAAAAAGCACAGTTCTGGTGGACATATTAATGCGGATTCTAGTACAAAAGATAAGCATGTGCCAGATAATACTAAGGAAAGAAAATCATTCGAACATAGTAAATGTAAATACAAATCTCCTAAACATGCACACACTCTTTCAAATTCTGATCATTTCAAGATAGATACAATGCGCAGGCATGTAAATCGTGGCTATGAATTCTCTGCACCTAAAAGCTATATTGACAATGAAAGTCGTTTTTCCTCTGAGTGGCACGAAGAATATAATACTGATCTTGTACAAGAAGTTGAATATTTAAGCAAACAGGTTTCTTATTTGACGGAAGAAAATATCCTTGTTATAGAAATATATAAGTCCAAATGATAGTGTATAGTTATTAATAGATATAAATTTGTTTTAATAATACTTTCTGGAAGTATACATACATATGAACTGATTGCTTGTCTACATGTATTCGGTAATTTTGCAGTATGCCAGAGTAATCCATAGTATTCAATTGCTCCATATTTAGTTACTTGAGGTGATTTTTCTGTTTTAAGATTTCAAATATTTCTATAGAGCAGTTTGTTCTTCTCTCAAAATACTTCATGTGACAAGCATTAAGGCTCAGCTTAAATTGTATGTACTCATCTTTTTTCACATTGATAATTTCTAATATTTTCATTAGCTGTTGCAGTAAAATGCTATAAAAACTGGTAAAAGTTTACAATTGTGTGCCCCTTATTTTTTGGCGATTCTTTTTTGACACCAAGATCTGCGCCAGGAGGCACAATTTTAAGATGGCCGCTACAGAAAACCAAAATAGAAGTCAAAGAATTGCACAAAATCTGTGTCCATGTACACATCGATCTGTTTTCACTTGAAAAACATCCTAGAATTGCACAAACTAGGCATTGTGCACTGCCTTGAATTTGTCCATGTACACATCAATCTATTTTCATTCAAATAAAATCATGAAGCTAAAACACAGTTAAAACTATCGTGGTAACCAGAAGTGAGATTTCATCGCCAAAATTTTAAAAAAAATTGTCGATAATCGAAGGGGCACCCAATTCTACACTAGAGCCAATTAAATTAATATACAACATCTGATTTTATCAAAAAGTTGAATGTCACTATTTCAGCAAAGTATTGAATGGCAAGCAGAATCGAATTTTAGATACTTTTCTGTTATGCACTTGTGATGCATTTTAGTCGACTTTTTAATTCTAAGTAATTTTTATTTCTAAGAATATTTTATAGATCACACACACACACACATGAGGGTATACTTTTCCATTATGCAGACACATTGCAAAATGGGTGGTGGATGCAAAACGAAAAAGCACCAAATTTTAAATAAATATGATATAATTTTATTTCTTAATAATTTATAAAAGCATGAACTTTTTTATGTCTGAATAAACATAGATTTTTAAGCTTTCTGACAACCTCTTCCCTAAGAGGATGTTAAGCAAAATGAGTTCAAAATAGCAACTTGCATTTGGCTAATATTTACTGTATGGTACCCCTTGGTTTTTGTTTGAAAAATGAAAAAATCACCAAGTGGTATTGGTTTTTCATGAAATCCGGAAGCCTCCTGCGTGAAATAGGTTTTTTGGTAACCCTAATGTTGATAATGTTGGCGAAATTAGCCTTGGGGAATTTTTTTTTTAAGTTTTTGTCATTAAAAAGGGGCTATTTCTGTGAATATTGCCAAATGTTCTGTGATAAATTTAGATTTTGGCTATTTTTTGTTATAGTAACCCTTTCATATGGACCCGGGTTCTTGGTTCTTACTGTTCAATTACTGTATTCGGTTGCACGTGTGTGGTATGTTCTTGTATTTTGAACTTCATATTATTTTGCTGTGGGTACCATCATTTGACTATGTCTGAGGTGACTAAGAAGATGAATGTTGATGGACTGGATTATGGTGAAATTGTAAATTTGAGTTTTTTGTATTGGTTGGATGATGGACGAAAGACGTTTGATTTTTTCATGAAAGCTGTCTTGATTGCTGATAGATATGAATGAGCCAAAATGACAAAAAAATTAATTGAATTGCTTACCTGTATGGTGGTGGGAAGCCTAAATGTATGCATATGAAAAAAGGTATGTTAAAAAATTGACATTTCATTTATTTATTCATCTCTGTGTGTTTATTTTTGTTAAAAGATTTGTTGTTTAATGTTGTTATGTTTTAGGAAATATGCATTTTTGGCTATTTATTCCTCTCTGTGTATTTTTGGTTATTTGCTCGTCTTTGTGTGTTAAGACAGCAGTGAATTTTTTCTGGTTACCATGATAGTTATAACTTTGTTTTAGTTTCTTGATTTTGTTTAATAGTGAAAATAGATCAATGTGTTTATGGACATTCTTTTAGCTTCTTGATTTTGTTTAAGTGAAAATAGATTGGTGTGTTTATGGACAAAGTTTAGGCAGCGTGCAATGCATAATTTGTGCAATTCTCTGATTGTTTTTTAAGTTAAAATAGGTCGATGTGTACATGGACTCACAGTTTGTGTAAGTCTTTGATTTCTTATTTTGGTTTTCTGTAACGGCCATCTTCAAATTGTTGTCGATCCTTCCTGGCCCCGATCTTGGCGTCAGAAAAGAAACGATTCGCCAAGGGGTACTGTAGAGTAAATTTTTACTCCTGCAATTTGAAGTTATTTATATTATTAGAAGATTTTCAGTTTTAATTTTTATTTATGTTATCTCAGATTGTATGCATATGTGTAAAAAAAAAAAAAAAAACCATTGTGAAAATCTGGTTTAATATTAAGTTATGCTAGTCCTAAAAAATTTTCAAAAATATTAATGTTTAAAATTAGGCAAAAAGGTGATCTTAGTTTGATACACATTTTTTGTTGGTTTTAAGGACAATCTGACGTAGATTCCTATTCTTTAGGAATTTTCCTCTGTTCCCATAAAAAAGGAAAATATGCTGGTAAGATTCTTTTCTGCTTCTGAAGAAGAACCTGTATTTGATCATCCTGAAAGTCAATAAAGTTTATTCAAAGTGTATGCCAAACTAAGGTTACTTTTTTATGCCTGATTTTAGATTTTACATTTTCATGTTTCCCTTCTAAATTTATGTTTTAAAGATTTAGTTAATACTACAAATCAGGTTATATTGATCAGCTGAATTTTACAAGGAATGTAATTTTAGTTTTTTACAATCACAATTCTTTCATATCTGTATCAATGATACAGACAGGGCAGTTCCTAGGCCATTGGCTGCCCACGTATTTTCTTGAGATGGCCGCCTCCAAATTTAAAAAAAAAAAAAATGCTGAATAAAATTTTTATTTTATACTCACCAAGTACTTACATATGACAAATTGTATAAGAAGTACTTACATATGACAAGTACATACAATGAATTTAAAATATTTAGGCATGGTATCACAAGAGTCTGGCCGCCCACATACTTTTACATGCTGCAACACCGCTAGGAACAACCCTGAATACAGATAATATCTCGTAATATGATTATATCAAAGAATTAGTTTTGTCAAAAGCCATTATAGATACATATGCTTTGCACAAAAAAATATGGGACGGTTCTATATCTCATGTTCTACTGGACTGATTGTCAAAATTTAACTTGTGTTTTGCATGTCTCAAAAGTGCGATTTATTACATATATTAGATTTATATATAGCATTGTTCTAACATAGGTATATCGGGACTTTTTCTGAAATAACGTACAAATTTTTCGCCATCTTGGCCGAAGTACAGTCAAAAGTCGTTAATTCGGACACACATAATTCGGAATGATCTATAATCCGGACCTCAATACTAAAAACTTTCTGCGCATGCGCCTCGTTGATGCATGCGATTAGGCGTTTACTCGTGCGCATAAGACCCTTTACGACTGCGCATATGCGTGTGCGCAAGCGCAGAATACGTTTTCGCGTGTGCTTTTAATGTATAACGGACGGTATAAGCTAAAATTATCTAATTATCTATTTCAGTTAATGTTGATGATTTCCTTGTTCCTTAATCTACGAATTGGATCCGGCTTATTATTTTTTGCAGACTGTAAGAGCAATTTTATAAAAGTAAGCTTGAACTTTCGATTATGTCAAATAGAATTTCCGATGCTGGAGCTCCCAAAGGATCTACAAAACGAAAGTATGTTTCGATGTCCATCAAACAAAAAGTGGAATTGCTGCCAAAAAATGGAATAAAGGCATATCCTTTGTTTATCTAACCGTTCCGAAATCTTTTTATCAATTTCACGCTGCTCTGCACGTGGGGGAGCGAGGGGAACGTCGCGGCGCGCAATTAACTGGAAGTTGATCTGTCAGCACTATCGTTATCTTCAGGGCAGATGTTTTTATTTTATTCGGCTTATAATTCCTTTCTAAATGAAGTATTTCATCTCAATGTACTCCGTCTTTGATATGATTTAAATCAAATTCCTCGTCATTATAAATATCACGAATACAAATCAAATAGTTTTCTGGTTGCAATTTTCTAATTTCGGCTATGCGTAATGTATGCTTTATGCATGCGCGCGTTGAAAGAAATGTTTAATAAAGTAAACAAATAGATATTAAGCTTTTTTTTTTTTTTTGTAAATTTTGATACCCGTTAGATCATAATTGCTCATTATTTTATAAATTACGGTTTCATATTTTTAATTTTATAATTTCTGCATGTCATTTTACCAGATTTAAACTGATGATCTATAATCCAGAAAAATCGATAATTCGGAATCGCCGAAGTCCCGTCGAGTCCGGATTAAAGACTTTTGACTGTACCAAGTTTTGTAAAAGTAGTTTTTAAAAAATTAGCTCTCAAAATTTTTGCTCCTCCATGTGAATTGAATTTGGTATATATTTATTAATATCTCTTTTTTATTGAACTTATTTGTTTCTACCTTCCACATTTCTAAATTTAGGTTCATTCCAAATAAAGTATGCCTCTTTTTTATGTTTTATGTACGTCTTTTATTTTATAAATTTGTAATTTTTATAAATTCTTTGGAAAAAAAAATTGAATTAGGACGTATAAAATTTTTACCATCATCTGAAAGTAGTTGTATTTCTAAACATACCTGCAAAAAATTAGTTTTTTTTATTCAAAATTTCCTAAGATATACATGAATTTACATATTGGCGCATTTTGAAATTTGGCATATTTATTACAGTCAAAAGTCTAATCCAGGCATCCATAATCCAGAATGATGTATAATCCGGACCTCAAAGCTATAAACTTTAAGAGCATGCGTAAACACATAATGCATTTACGCATGTGCATAATACGTTTACGCATGTGCGTTTAATGTATAACAGACGGTATAAGCTAAGCTAAAATTATCTAATTATCTATTTCAGTTAATGTTGCAGATTGCGTTGCTCCTTAATCTTCAAATTGGATCTGGCTTATTATTTTTTGCAGACTGTTAGAGCAATTTTATAAAAGTAAACTTGAACTTTCGATTATGTCAAAAAGAATTTCCGATTCTGGAGCTGCCAAAGGATCTACAAAGCAAAAGCAAGTTTCTATGTCCATCAAACAAAAAGTGGAATTGTTGAAAAAAATGGATAAAAGCATATCCTTTGTTTCTCTAACTATCTGTTTATCTAACCATTCCGAAATCTGTTTATCAATTTCACGCTGCTCTGCTTGTGTGTGGGAGAAACGTTGCAGCACAGTTTATCTTCAGGGCAGATGTTTTTATTTTATTCAGCTTATAATTCCTTACTAAATGTAGTATTTCATCTCGATGTACTCCGTCTTTGATATGATTTAAATCAAATTTCTCGTCATTATAAATATCACGAATACCTATCAAATAGTTTTCTGGTTGCAATTTTCTAATTTCGACTATGCATAATGTATGTAATATAATGCATAATAATGTATGCTTTACGCATGCGTGCATTGAAAGAAATGTTTAATAAAGTAAACAAATAAATATTAAGCTTTTTTTTGTGAATTTTGATACCCTTTAGATCATAATTGCTTTTTATTTCATAAATTATGGTTTCATATTTTTAATTTAATAATTTCTGCATGCCATCTTACCAGATTTAAACTGATGATCTATAATCCAGAAAAAACGATAATCCGGAATCAGCAAAGTCCCGACGAATCCGGATTAAAGACTTTTGACTATATAAGCGATAATAACGACAAACATGGTTTACACGCTTTGTTAAAATTATTTGAAAGTATGAACAGTGACCTTTCTTCTGCTCGTGTACAATGAAAAATGAAAAGGAAACTATGTTGCTATAAATTAAGAAGTTTTCCAAGTGAATTATTTTTGCCACAAACTGAAAAAAATGTGCCTAGATAAATTTTAAAATTTCTCATCAAAAATTGCAAAATTTAATATTCTAGGCATACTTTGTGTTGTAGTATTGAAATAGGAAAAAAAAATTGGCATATTATTTCAGAAAAAGTTTGATTTTGTGTCAAAATACCTATGTTAGGATAATGCTATATATAAATCTAATATCTATTCGAAGTTTTGCTTTCGAGACATGAAAACACAAGTTAAATTTCGACAGTCGGTCCAGTAAAACGGGAGGTATAGAACTGTCCCATTTTTTTTGTGCAAGTAATGTAATCAAGGATATTTTTTTGGAATAGGTGTTTATTTAATAGTTTCCAGTGTTAACTGTATTTAGTACTTGAAAATATCAGATGTTCTTTTATTGAAAAATATCATGCTGGATGTATTGAATTAAAAACTAAATATTACATTTCAGTGACTCTTCCTCCTCTATAAGCATTCATGACCCCACTTGAGGTTGAAGTTGAAAAGCTTTATAAAGGGTGGCCCAGAAGTCACTTTACATTTTGAAAATTAAATAACTTTTTTTCTATTAATATATTTCTTTTTCTCTTTTCAGAATTAAAAAATATAATCCCTGGAAATTTTTGGCATGGATAAGTTTACAACAGAACGAGTGAAGATAACTGAATTTTACTTTGAAAATGGACGGTCAATTGTTGCAACGCAAAGATCGTTATATGCGCCATTTTAATGTTCGACATCCCCTTAGTAGGCCTGCAATAAGGAACTTAGTGACGCGTTTTCAAGGTTCAATTAGTGCAATCTTTAAAACCAGCAGACTTTCAGAAACGAGTAAATTATGCTGTCAGGTTTCAGAGAACTGCAAGAAATGACAATGAGTTTATTCACAAGTTGATCATGGGAGATGAAGCTCATTTCCATTTGAATGGACATCTGAATAAGCAAAAAATAAAAAAGAATTAATTAAATACAGTCATTTAAGAAAAAGTTATTTAATTTTCAAAATATAAAGTGACTTCTGGGCCACCCTATATCTCTGCTACATGATATGCAATTAGAATACTATTTTAATAAAAATAAGCATTTTTCATTTACCGTTAATTAAGTTAAAGTAATCATTTATTTTTATTTTATTTCATGGGTATACTTTGGATGTTAATTTTTTTTTTTTTTTTTTTTGATAAAATTCACTCTTATATGCGGATTTTTATGCATCTATTACTTCTCAATTTTAACAAGCCAAAAAATGTGCTGTTTATCTTGTCGCACTCCACTACAATTTAAGAGCACATTAGAATTCAAGCTTTAAACAAACTGAACTTTGAGAAGCACTAAAAGGCAGTCATGTTTCATGCTTAAAAAAAATCAAATACTAAATTATAATATTTATTGTTGCCAATTTCTTCAAAAATTATCTGTGCTGTTGACAAAGTTAGTTAAAATATGTTTATAAAATTTATGGAATATTTAAGTGTATAAATGTTAAACTGTAGTCTTGAATTTTTTAATAGGTGAATTATCTCTGTGTGTATTTGTATCTGAATCTTTCTCTCTCTGTATATATAAATATAGGAGTTCTATCTATCTACCCATGTATATATATATAATGTACTTGGATGAGTTATATCTATCTATATATGTGTAAGATAAAAAATATGAGTTCTATCTATTTATACATTTCTTGTAAGAAACAAAATATGAAAGCAAACTACTACCTTCAATTTTGCAAAAGCTCCTCTATTCTTCTCCTTTCTGTCCTAAAAATAGTTACTACTTGCAGTATATCAACCTAAACTGCATTATTTCAGAATCAATCTACAATATAAGATCTTACATAATCCAACAATGCAGATACTTCTATTTCAATCTCAGATAAAAGATTTCAGTTAAAAGCGATAGTTTCTTCTTATCTCTCGTACTTCTTCTGAATGTGGAAGCACTTTCCTGCTTGTCTGCATCAAAGTTACACATCGCCACTTGCTTTTCTGAATCATCCATTGTGCTATGAGGATGTAAGCTTCTAAAAATTAAGGAGTGCAATTGTGCCCATGATAATGTGTGAATAAAAATATGTGTCTCATCATGAATGAATTGTTCAGCAATAAATTATATAGTATCTGCAGCTGTGTTTGTCTGGAAGTTTCATTGGAAACATTTATTGGAACGGATACAGCAATTGTTGACCTACTTTTCAAATATTCACTCCTGGAATAGATTACTGTGGGATCAACTTTTGTATTTTTCTGTCAGAGAATTTTGCTGCCTGGAATTGGAGCCATTGTTTTTATAGCTGTAAATACCTCTTTGTCACTTTGATTATACTGATCAGGTAAGAATTTAATGAAGTTTAAGGAAAGATGGAAATTTCTGGAGGTGAGATTAAGATGATATGATGGATAGCCAAACACTTCCCAACAAAACTGCTGCAGAAGATGTGTTGAGAAATATGTGGGTGAGTATTAACATGAATTAATACAATACCTGTGCAGAGTATCCAGTGCTTTTTGTTCTGGATGATCTATTTCAGTTTCATTTAGTATTTGACAATAATGGTCAACATTTATCTTTTCACCTCTGATTAGGAAGTTGATGAGCAGAATGCCTTTTCTGTTCCAGAATATCATGCACATCAATTTTTGCACTTGGTTTCCAGGTTTAAGTGGGCAACTCATATTCCATGACCTGTAATGATCCTGTAAAGGAATTCATCACCGTCATCATGGTGTTGCTGCAGAAAAATCAGTTTTAATCTCATGCGTTTGCTTTTGTGTGCAGGCTTTCTGGCACCCACCTGGAACACAATTTCTTGAGTAAAATCTATTTTGTAAAAAATTCTTGCAACATAGATGGGATATATGTAGAAAATGGCCATTGAGTTTCAAAATTATGAAGCAGTGATTCTCCACAAAGCACTACCATATTGCTGTACAAGGTCATCATTGATCATGGATGACCACCTAATGTGCTCTTTATTTTGTACTTCTTGATGGCCTTCGGAAAATTGCTTGCACCAGCAGCACACCACTTGCATGTCCAATGATAACAAGCCCATAGACTTGACACAGGTGAACACGTAATACAGACTCAACACAGTGTATTTCAATCATCGTTACTTTCTGTGCATTAAAAAACTTTTATTGTGGACCTAACCTCGTACTTAGTAGTTGAAAAAATAAAGGGTTAATTTTAAGCTGCTACAGCTGCAGTCCTATAAGTGACCATGAAGTGTTTATTTTCATATCTGATCCTAAAACTTCTAGGCTTACACATTTGTCTTTTTCTATGGCCAGCCATCTGTTGTCATGAGAAATTTATTTTCTAGATGTGCCTTGCACATATATTTCTTTAAAATCTGGAAAAGAAATAAACCACTTTTTGACATTTAAAGAAGGTGTCAAATTGTATACTTATTTAAATGATGTATGTTATATGAAAAGATTTGTTTACAGCACATATCTTTAACTAGTGTAAATCTGCGCTATTAGTATTGGTTTTGAATATTGATTTGATATATTTGTTGAGACTTGATATTTGTTTTTAGCACACTTCCTTAATTAGCATAGATCTGAGATTGAGCAATGCCTTATATAATATAAAGGGTCATTCAGAAGCAGAAACAGAATCCGAAGTATATATCAGTTTCAAGGAAAAAAGATTAGATGAGTAAGTACAAATGAAATTTTTATTGTGAATCTTTATTAAAGACTAAAAACAAAACTACTGTATTTTTTAAAGCTTTTCTAAGGAATAAGTAAATATCCAAGTGTTTTCTGCATGGAAAATACAAAACTAAATTTACTAGGCAGGGTCTTTTAACTAGAGATGTGCAGACAGTTGTTCGAGAAGAATGAATAGGTATGGCTGCAGTTTCTACAGGTATAATTTGAACTTTATTATCATTTAATAAACATTTCAAGGATATACTTTAAAGGTTCTACAAAGAGTGGATGACTGGAGGTAATTATCAATACGAGGTCTGGCAGGAAAGAAAGTTAATTTTATCTATGCATTGTTGGTTGAATGATGCATTTTCTGGTGTATCACCTAAAAAGTTATTTAACCATCCGTGATTAAAAAATGGTTAAAAAGATTTTAAAGAACAAAAGATAATTGAGAAAACTCTAACGAAAACTTAAGATTACCAATATCATAAATAGTTTTTATTATGTAACAGAATTTGTCAAGATAAAGATGATGGTGATTTTTGGTACTTAAAAGTTCTTAATGTCAGCCAAAATCAACAGAAGGACCTTAACTTTAATAATGTGAAATTTTTGTGTTTTTTTATGACTGCCATTTTGAGTATGAATTAGCATTTTGGAGAAATACTTTTGGCAGTTCACTGACAAGGTTATCTTTTGATTGGGTTAATGGATTTATTTGATTTGTTGGATTTGTTTGTTTTGAATGTGTTCATGGATTTGTTTGATCTTTTGATTTGTTCATGGATTTTTTATAGTTTTCTTTTTTATTATCCTAATATTGTTTAAGAATCAGTGTCATAAATTACATGTATTTTAAACTGTGAAATTTTATTAGATTGTTATTTTAATAGGACTTTTTTTAAATACTTTCATTAATCCTTACCATGGTCACAAAAAAAAAGAAAAAGCACAAAAATGTAAAAATTCATGTAAAACTTATTCATTGCATCTGATGAGACTTAAAATAATACAACCTATCATCTTTGGTGCTTTACTGGCTTATTAGAACCTTAAAGTACAACCCCTGGAACTCTACCCAAAGCTACGACTCTAACTGCATCAGACAGAGCCCAACTCTAACTTTCAAAACTTGCCAATTGCCTACATCAGGCCTTTCAACTTGCCTACATCAGGCTTTCAGGTGTGTTCTGATCAGTAGGCCCCTCTCTAGGGAAGCAGCAGTGGTGACAACAGCTAGTCTTTTGTTATGAATCATGCTGCTTATGATTTTATTCTTATTTTAACCTGTACTGGTTGACGTAAAGTCTACCTGCTATTTATTAAAACTCTAGACTGAGCAAGTATGTGACAAAATGAGACATAAAAAAATCAACATAAGGTGAACTATTAGTAAAACATAAATAAAATTGTCACTTATTTTCTTTCAAATATGTCCAACTATTATAAGTGTAAAATATTTTATGCTACTTGATAAATTTTATAAAGTTTATTTTATTCTCGAGCCGCCCAGATGGTATAATGGTTAGGTAAGCCTGACTGTGATACCAAAGGGTCTGGGTTCAAATGTCAGAGAAAGCGTGATTGTAACTGTCTGTCCCTTCATAGGAGGCGATGGTCGCCTACCTATTAGGTGCCTCCATAATAAAGAGGCCACCACATCTGGGCTTGTATAGATTAATGAACTGTGTTACACTGTAACTGTTCACAATGTGCCATTGGAAAAAAAAATATATATTCTTTATAAATATATATTAATAATTATGTTTATTAAGTTATGTTTAATAATAATACATCCATCCTACTTACAGATCTATTTTATCTTTAGGATGGTATTAAAAAAGTGAAGTTCAGGCATAGATAATATTTTTAATTAAATATATTATTTCCATTTACTCGTAGGTCCTTAAATTTTTTTTTTCGTTAATGGTCCTCAATAGTCCTTAAAAGTACTTAATTTCCATGTGCATAAATGTGTACAAACCCTGATCTATGGGAAAGAACTGCCATCTTTGCTTCAGTTTGTACCTGATTGTAGTGTATGGGAACTCTTTGTTGCAATTTGCATTAAACTAACCATTATGAAATTCTTAAAACATGCAAGCAGTCTCTACAATGCAATCATAATTTGACATGTGTTAAAACAAAATGTTTTGAGCATTTTATAGATGAGGCATAGAAACACCTATTTTAGAAACAGAATTCTGGTCATTGAAAAGGTTAAGAGACATCATTTATTGAAATGCAAAAGACTTTTCTGATTATTATGTTTTGCTAGTAGCATGATTATAATAATGAATTTTAGAATTTGTCTTGATATTTATTGTCTTTAAGGATTATTTTTCTGACTTTTATTGTATTTTAATTATTTTATCATGCTTTGACCCATACTTATATGGTCATTATAAATACATTCTACACAAAAAAAGGGGAGAAGGACCATTCTATATCTCCTGTTTACTGAGCTGATTGATGAAATTTAACATGTGTTTTTCTTGTCTCGAGTTAGAATATATATTAGGCGTGACTTAAAATACTATATATTGGATTCATATACAGCATTGTTCTAACATAGGTATTTTGACACAAATTCAGCATTTCTTAAATATTAACTTTTTTAAAGTTTGGTGAGAAACTTACTGAGAAATTCAAAAATTTATCTTGCTACACTTTTTTCAGTTTACACAAGGAATAATTCATTTGGCAAAATTCTTCATTTGCGGTAATCTACTTTGCTTTCCCTTTCATTGTGCACAAGAGGAAAAAAAATGTGCATCATTCATTCTTTCAAATAATTTTCTTTATATTTTAGTTTTTAATCATAATTGGTATTTTTAGATCATTAACCACATTTGGCATTGTTGTTGCTTAAAACAAGGGTGCCAAATTTCAGAGCGTGCCAATATGTAAATTCATGTATATCTTAAGAAATTTTTAATAAGAAATCCTAATTTTTTGCTGATATGCTTCGATACATGTACTTTAACTCATTAGCCGCTTGTGTTGCGTTGACGCAACGGTCAAAATAAATGCGTATATAAATATAACTACCTAAGATATTTTTTACCAGCAAATAATTTTGTGTAGGGAATATTATGAAGATTATTTCTGTAAAAAAGTATTTGCCTTCAACAATCATTTTGTTTATAATAATTAATATCATACTTTAAGCAAAATTTTCGACCGTGTATTTTTGCTGAAAATATTTAACGAAAGAATCGCCGTCTTTATGAGTGATCTATTTTTAGTCAAGGTCACCGTTTATCAGAACATCACATCAGTCAGATGTTTATATATGTGTTGGGATGGAAGGGAAAACAGGTGTTGCTTTGACACAACATGAGCAGGAAACAGGTAGTCAATCTCCTTTTCCACTCATTCCTTTCGATGTTCTGGTTCATGTTCTGGTTGTTTAAAAATGCCTAGAACGAGGTATCTTGCATTAGGAAAAGCCCTTCAAAGATTTTTTGATGAAGAAACAGATGATGATAATGTTAATAATGACCAGAATGAAACTGATATTGTTGTTGTTCCCCCAGAAACTGCAGAGACTAGTGACGAAGAAGAAAGGAATGGCAATGTTTTAAATAATGATAATGATATTTTGCCAAATGATACTGCTGAGAAGTTGAAATTCACGTAAGAAATAAGTTTCAGCCTTCTAAAAGCAGTTATAGTCATACTAAAATGTTTAAAAAGCAGAAGACTGAAATCTTGAAGTGGATAAAAAAGGAACTGTTAGTTATGTCTCAGGAAGAACACGAAGAAAGAGATAGAAGAGAAATTATAAAAGACAAAATACAAGGTAAAACTAGTGCACAGATTTTCGATTTTCTTTTTTAGACATTTACTCTCTTCTCGTTGAACAGACAAATGTATATGCTCAGCAAAAAACAAAACAAAACAAAAAAAAAAAAAAAAAAAAAAATGCCCAGAATTTATTGTATCTAAAGCCTATATGAGAAGATTTATTGAATTATTATTGCTTACAAGATATCATTCTTTACCTCAAGAAAAAATGTATTGGTCTTTTGATAAGGACATTTCTGTTCCTGTTGCACGAGAACTGATTTCACGTTTGCAGTACAGGAATATGAAGCAAAATTTGCATTTGACAACAGTCAAATTGGCAATACTGATAAATTATATGAGGTGAGACCGTATCTAAACTTACTAAATATCACCACTTTTTACTATTGGAAATATAAAGTCTCCTTTTAGATTTCAGATGCGAGAATGCATTATTCCTTTTGCAAACTCCTATTGAGAGTGTTGAATTAGCCAGAAATAGATCAGCAACAGAAAGACCTAGTAAATTCAGCATTCAAAAACCATTGCATGGAGGTGGTAGACATTTTATCGTAAAGTCCGTTGATAACAAAAGACTTTGTTGTAAAGAGTACCATAGCCAGATGGTTTATAGATGCAAAGTATGTAATGTAGCTTTACATCATGATTGTAATCAAGCTTTTCATGCTTGAATCTTTCAAATGAAATAATCTGTATTTGTAAAAGAAATACAATGTATATTTTAATATTAAATTAATTACAAGTAAAGTGATTTGTAGATTTATAAAACGTTATACAGCTAAAAAGTAATCCTGCGCTCCACTCAAAAGAAACATCACACGAGTACAATCCTACTCACTAAACATCCGTAGTCTTATTCCGCTGACATTGCGTGAACTCAACATTCGCTTTTTTCATAGGTTAGAGCATTTTTTTAAATTTTCAATGTAAATTTATGTTGTAAATGTTTAATTTAATATTTGTTATTATTTTTCATGAGAAAAGAAACATTCCTTGTAGTTTTGGCGGTTAATGAGTTAAGATGATGGTAAACTTTTTATAGATTATATATAAAAATTTTTTAAAACATTTATGAAAATTACTAAAGAATAAAAATTTAAAAAGTAAATCAGAAAATTTTTGCAAGTTTTATTTGGATTGAATCTAAATTTCAAAGTGGGAAGGAAGGAATTACGTAAGTTTAATTAATAAGTGCATACCAAATTCAGTTAACACTGAGGAGCTAAAATTTTGACGGCTAATGTTTTGAAAACTACTCATGCGATTTTTTATAATACTTAGCACTTTGGCATAATTTGAGTCTCTGAATCAAAATACGGGGTAAAACTTGATACAGTACAAAGTCTTTAATCCGGAACGATCTATAATCCTGACCTCAAAGCTACAAACTTTCTGTGCATGCGTAGCATTTATGCACACACATAATACCTTTATGCATGAGCATATGTGTTTATGCATGCGCATAATACGTTTACGCATGCGCGTTTAATGTATAACGGACGGTATAAGCTAGGCTAAAATTATCTAATTATCTATTTCAGTTAAAGTTGCCGATTGCGTTGTTCCTTAATCTTCTAATTGGATCCGACTTATTATTTTTTGCAGACTGTTAGAACAATTTTATAAAAAGTAAGCTTGAACTTTTGATTATGTCAAAAAGAGTTTCCGATTCTGGAGCTGCCAAAGGATCTACAAAGCGAAAGCATGTTTCGATGTTCATCAAACAAAAAGTGGAATTGCTGCAAAAAATAGATAAAGGCATGAAGAAAGTGACAGAGAGGTTAGTGAAAACAGAAAAATTTCGATTGACAAGTTAATCGGTATTCTTGGCACAGCAATTACAGGACTTGAACAGTGGAACTTTGTAACTGAACAAGAAATTATGTCTGTTTATAGAATTAAAGAGAAAGTATTAGCACATAAAACAAAGCAACTTAAATAACTTACATTGAAAGAAATGTTTAATAAAATAAAGAAATAAATATTAAGCTTTTTTTTTTTTTTTGTAAATTTTGATACCCTTTAGATCATAATTGCTCTTTATTTCATAAATTACGGTTTCATATTTTTAATTTTATAATTTCTGCATGCCATCTTAGCAGATTTAAATTGATGATCTACAATCCGGAAACGCCGAAGTCCCGATGAGTCCGGATTTAAAGACTTTGTACTGTATGTCAACTTGATATGTCGGCAAAGTCTGATTTTGTGTTAAAATACCTATGTTAGAACATTGCGACGTAAAAGTCTAATATATATATCCTAAGCTGTGATTTCAAATTACGAAATACGCAAGTAAAATTTTGTTGTTTGTCTCACTAGAACAAGCGATACAAAACTGTCCTTTTCTTTTTTTTTTTTTTTTCTTTTTTGGCAGAGTATATCTATTTGTAAAAATTTATTAATGTTTAGTTTATAAATATGCATATTTGTAATACAGTCAAAAGTCGTTAATCCGGACTCGTCGGAACTTCGGCGATTCTGGATTATCGATTTTTCCGGATTATAGATCATCAGTTTAAATTGCGTAAGATGGCATGCAGAAATTCTAAAATTAAAAATATGAAACTGTAATTTATGAAATAAAGAACAATTATGATCTAAAGGGTATCAAAATTTACAAAAAAAAAAAGCTTAATATTTATTTGTTTACTTTATTAAACATTTCTTTCAATGTAAGTTGTTTAAGTTGCTTCGTTTTATGTGATAATACTTTCTCTTTAATTCTATAAACAGACATAATTTTTTGTTCAGTTACAAAGTTCCGCTGTTCAAGTCCCGTTAATTGCTGTGCCAAGAATACCGACTAACTCGTCAATCGAAATTTTTTCGTTTTCACTAACCTCTCTGTCACATTCTTCATGTCTTTATCCATTTTTTGCAGCAATTCCACTTTTTGTTTGATGGACATCGAAACATGCTTTCGTTTTGTACGATCCTTTGGGAGCTCCAGATTCGGAAATTCTATTTGACATAATCGAAAGTTCAAGTTTACTTTTATAGTATTGCTCTTACAGTCTGCAAAAAATAATAAGCCAGATCCAATTTGAAAATTAAGGAACAACGCAATCATCAACATTAACTGAAATAGATAATTAGATAATTTTAGCTTATACCGTTCGTTATACATAAAACACGCACGTGAAAACGTATTCTGCGCTTGCGCACACGCAAATGCGCAATCGTAAGAGGTCTTACGCGCACACGTAAACGCCTATGCGCATGTGTCAACGCGGCGCATGCGCAGAAAGTTTTTAGCTTTGAGGTCCGGATTATAGATCATTCCGGATTATGGGTGTCCGAATTAACGACTTTTGACTGTATATGCATATTTTTAGAAAATTTTTTATGTATAGAAAAATTTCATTTAAAAATTCAACAAGTCTGGCAATATTTAACTGTTTACTGAAGGTTCTGAGTTTATTTGTTAGTATTTATGTTTAGGTGCTTAGTTATTTATTGAAATATTTCATTTAAGACTGGTAGTATTTAATTCTTTTCTGAAGGTTCTCAGATTTCTTTTTTTCCCACATTGATGGCATACTAGTTATCAAAGGCTAATTAATTGCACATACCATTAGGCATGGTTTAATCTAGGTAGCCTGAAATCTTAAGAGGTTAAATAACAGGAGATAAAGGAATATGAGACTTGGATTGTCAAAGTTGAACTGAAGCATAGGCAGATAGACCTCATATGCTTTCCTTGAACTTTTATTGGTACTTGTGTATTATTCTGTTGACTTTAAAAATGTCACTAAGCAGCATCATTTAGTGCCAGTTATTGATAAGTATAATGCACTAACACACTCACAATATCTGTGCTTTCATTAGATGCGAACCCAATTGATTCTTTATAAACTGTGTTTTGTTTTTATGAACAAGAATTTATATTAACTTCTGTCGCTGTATTTCCTCCTTGCATTAAAAAGAGGTGATTAAAATTTGGAGCTGCCTTCTACAGAACAGCAGTCAGTGGATTACTTTCAAATTTATGGAATCATACCCCCGAAAAAATTGTGTATTAATGGATATGGCATGGTCAACTGAATATTAGCTGACAAGATAGTGATAGATTGGAATAACTACCTGCGAGTAGTTCATACTCATAGTATTCTAAATAGAGCTTCTGGTAAAATCGAAGAATCAGACAAAATATGAAAAGTGAACTAAAGCATTGGCAGAACTTTGGCGAGGATCTCTGCCAACTTTCATGTTCGATGGGATAATACATGAGTACCCTTTTATTTAATCAGTATAGTGGTTAGGAGTCAGAATCTAGATTTTTTTTTAATGGCTGGTCATCTTGAAAGCTTATATATAAAGAGCTGAAGAGTGGGACCTGAATTCAGTTGAACTGTTTACTGAGTTTTTTTCCTTCGTTTGTTTATCATTACCTTAGAGAGCTTTTCATATGTAAAACTCCAAATTATTTATATATATATTTTTCAATGAAAAGTTTAGATTTTGTTTCTGTCTTCAAACATTTTTAATTTAATTTTTAAAGAGTCTACCAGTGGCTGGTTAGCTGAATCTGTAAAGCACTGCTAATTCATCCCTGGTTCTTGAAAGTCCAAAATATTTTACAAATGCATTCTTATCATGTTGCAGATAAACCTTGCTTGATTTGCCTTAATTATTAAAGGTGAACCAACCTGATCTACCTTTGAGAATAAATGAATATGAAAAAGCAGACCTATTAGAGAACCTAATTAATAGCGTGCTTTTTTAAACAAAGCATAATTTTATTTATAATTTGAAATTTTTATGAAAAATATTCAAACCGAACATGTAGCAATTTGTAATATATCATTTGGTCTAAAGAAGAAATGTAAATTGAAGTTCAGTCTAATAATTCTCTTTGCTTTATTTAGTTACACATGTTTTGTTATGCAGGGATATTGTAACATACCAGGGCAGTTCATAAACTAACCTCATTTTTTTTCTTTTTGTATTTTCAGAAAGTTTTCTTCGATACTCAGAGATTTAATTGTAGAATTAACTTCAGGTCATCTTGATATACAGGAGTTAAAAAAATTCATTTCATCAAAGAAGCAAAACACGAATGAAGTTGAGGAAAATCCTGAGGTACTTTAAAGTTATATTTGCAGATTTTAATGACACGAAGAACTTTTTTTTAATATGTACTTAAACTGTTTTTCTACTGCTCTGGTACTATTGTTTGCAATTTTACAGTGGAAGTTAACATAGTTTAATATTCTCAAAATTGTTCATTTCTTAAAATTTTTATAACTTAGCTTTCTTTCCTAAAAGAGAACTAAACTGTGTGAATATTATGTTTACCATAGGTTAAGACTGTTCTACATTTTTTCTAAAATTATGAACTTTGAATCAAATAATTTAAATATATATGCTTCTATAATTTTATTTCATGTATAATATGTAGAGAAAAATGAGTTGGGGTGAACTTTTATGTTATTTCTTCTTAGTGTTGTATTAATGTGAATCCCCCCAATTCTGAAATATTCATTTCAGACTTTTGAACTTGGTGTAATTTTTTTTTTTTTTTAATTGTGACTTTGCTTTTATCCGCTGTCTTCTAAACAGTTAAGGTAGTTGAAAATTTTTCTCATATTTGTTTTTTAAATTATGAATTTTCTTGTCATTCATTTTATTATCTTTTCTAATATTCGTTAAAATTAAAACTACATGCACATACTGTAAGCAGAAGTTCTCATATTATTTTCATATAATAGCAGAATTATTTTTCAACAATTGATAATTTACTATGGTCTTAGCATTCTTGCATGCTGCTGTATAATCTTTCCTTTTTTGATTGGATGGTGCATTGAATTTATACATGTTTTATGAGAAACACTTAAAAACTCTCATATATGGGATATTTCAGAATGGGGTAAACAAATTTTCAAAGCAGCAGAAAGTAAAGAGTATTAAATAAGCAATTTTTAGTATCCTCCAAATGTAGAATAAGACTTGAAGTTTTAACACAGAGGATTAGGCAGGTGTCATTTTTTGTAACAGGTGAGGAAACAGAGCTGGTTGTAACTTTTTCTTGAAATAAGTTCTTGAAGAATTAGTCTGAAAGACTGATTTTAGTGCCTAGCATTTTGAGATTCTAAACGTTAGCCCCAGCATTAAGTTGTGCAAACCTCAATGAATCAGAAAAGACAAAATATATCTGGACCATTTCTTATCAGTGTGAATTATAGATTTTTTAATTGATGTCCAAGCCAATCTTCTGAATGTAGATGGTACACATAAATGTAGGTAAAGACCATTAGTTTTGAAACATCCTATCTTGCCACAAACAAGCCATATTTATAAAAAGAACTGTACTTTCTAATAAGGAAAATCTTACTTTTGAATTTTTCAGATTTTTCAGTGTATATGGTATGATCAAACTGTGGTTCTTCGGCCCTTTATCTGTACCCTTAGACCTTTGAAATCTAAACTTGCTTGGGGGAAAAACTTTTATTTTTGAAATGGAGATCATCCAATGACATGATCAATTAGTATTTTAATTCCTTATATTGCAATTTAATCAATATCAAACTGTCTGTTGTGTGTTAACCATCAGAATAAGAAACAGAATAGTGAATTAATTCCATTTTTGGAAACTACTACTGTGACTATGTTAATTCTAGAGCTGGTAATGGCATTACAACACTGCAAAATACAAATATGGAAGTTATTTAAAATTAATATAGCCTATTATTTTCTCTCAAGTTTATTTTTTCCTAATAGTTCTTTTACATATTGTGTACTTTCTAATAGCCATCATCCATTGTCTCAAAAAATTTATTACTTCTCACAGGGCACCCTTCCCCCCTCGAATGGCCATGGAATCGTCCTTGAATGGCTTAAGTTGTTCTTGGAAGGCTTAAAGAAACCTTCAGCGAGAAAAACAGTCCTCACGAGGGCTTTTTCAAATTGAAGAAGGGTTTAAAGTCTGATGTACTTGTGTGGTCTTTATGGAAGTGAAGAGAAACTTGATCTGTCAAATCAACAGATCTGTCACAGTCTTGCATATATGGATGTTCGTTAGCATATTCAAAATTAATTGCCTATCCCTAAGCAAGTCAGAGGTTTTTGTGCATATTTCTGCACAGTTTTCATAACCACTCATGATAATAGTGCACATTTACAATTTTTTTATGATGAACTCATCTTTTATCATGATTCCTTAGTAATCTTAGGCAGAGACCATTATTTGTGTCACTTATGATTACAAAACTTTTTGGAGTCTTTGAGAAAAATGGGCTTCGACAATGATTTCAGCTTTGATTTCAAAGTCTCTAATCTATGTTTTGTTTGTAGGAAGTATTCAAGATAGAAATCTTTTACCCTCATCTTCAAATCATTATATCAATAAAGTTGCATTAAGGATGAGGGACCTATTGGGCACAATTTTTATCTTTCTACAAAGCTTTGTCAAAATATGGTATGTCCTTGCTGATGAAATTATTGAAGCTTGTATTATTTCTTTGCTTGCTGTCCGGTGATTCTCTTTTCTAGACTGTCATATGTGTCATATTTCGTTCACTGTTGACACTTTTTGTTTTGCTAGCATTCGATCATCTTGTACAACTTTATGGAAGAGGTAGCCTAACAGAAGACAGTCCCACTGCCTGATTATTACAAATGTCATGCAACACATTGTGAAATTTTGTTTGGGTTTACATATGTAAACTTCCGATTTTGATGTGTAATCCTTCATTTTCTACATTCACAGTCTTCCAGATACTAGTAGACTGTATTCTAAACACTTGTCTGTTTCAACTTCAAACAGACTTATAACTTGAGGATATGAATTCTGTATAACAGAAAAGAAAGTGTTAATAAAGAAAAAAATATGTGTGTTATGCTCAAACAGCAGAATTTTTAATGCTTTAAATTTTATGTAATATTCATAAACTTACAGATATATAGATATCCTTGACCATGTTCTAAATTTTTTACCAAGTTTCATAGGATTATTAGTAGATACTGGCATAGAAAGATCAATTCTTATGCTTTGAATCGAGTGATTCCAAAACAATATTTATAATACTGGCATCTGACTTATAACATGTGTATGTACAGTACTTTATGTTTAATATTTCATAACATATCATGAAATGTCCATGATTGGTTAAAGCTTGTTTCAGATATTTATCTGAAATAATTTTTAGCAAGATCTTGGCAGAAATCTTAGCAAGAATATGGATGCGATTCCTTTTTTGTATGACTGCTATTTGCATTTATTCTCCCATTCAGTGCACGGAACTTGATTGTTATTGCTGTAAATGGCGTTTTTAAAGAAGCTGCAATTATCTCAAATCTTGTTGGGGATTTCTGTCAACATGTATGGATTTTAACTTACTTCCCCCCAAAAAAAGTGCATGTGTGTGTGTAGATATATATAAATATATACATATATATAGAGAGAGATTAAAGCTTAACTAAAGTGAAATTCTGAAAAATTTTCAAATTTCAAATTCTTTGTTTAAGAATGGTAAGAAGAAGGGAAAAAAAAAACTTTTACTTAATATTGAAAATTTTTAAGCCTGCTAAATTTGAAAGATTTAGTGATAGAAGAGTTTAATAGATAGATAAACAGAGGTGTTATTGTATTGTAGCAATTATTATACTATTCTATATTTTATGTGTTATAGCATGAAGTATTGGAAACATTCAAAAGTCCTTATAGTAGATTATTTGGTCAAGAATTATCAAAATGTTTCAAAAGAGTAACTGTTTGATTCTTAATTTCGAGAATTTTTGAGAAAAGACTGTAAATGATTTCTTAAAAAGTCCATCAGATTTCGCTACATGCCATACTGAAACAGTGGAGACTCACAGCCATTATAAATTGATTTTGGTGTTTTAGATACTGTGAAAATTACAACAGTTGTATTCTTATTTAAATGAATGCTTCTGCTGGATATCAATAAAACTAAACTTTTCAAGATTTTGAATTAGAACATGAAAAATTAAAACATTTAACAATTTCTTCAGCTAGGCTTCTAGAGATTTGAATGATAAAAAAAGTGCTAATATTAGAGATTTGAAAATTTGCTAAATGTGAGGTTTTGAATATCTTATCCTTAAAAAACAACTGATTATCTAATTTATGTCTAAAGAATTATGTCAGTTATTAAAGTCTAAGCTTGATTTCAGCATGCTGGTATCTGTGTTAATTGGGTGGAGAAAACTAAATTATTACTTTATGTGCAAAATATTGAAATACCAGCTATTTATTTTTAACAGTTTTCCTTTCTCATTTAGTGATTTATCTGCAGTGTGAACTGTTTCATGTCACTTATTTTAGAGAAATAGTTATAAATTAAAAATAAAGAAAACACTGAAGAAGGGGGAAAAAAAAAAAAAAGAAAGTCACTGAATTTGTTTATTAATGTAATGTTCTATTCTTCATTCCACTGAAAAGCTTTTTACATTATCGATTATTGTACTCATAGAGATTATTACATCCTTTTTTTGATTTTTGTTTACTTCTGCTAAAGCTAGTCAATAGTTTTATACAAGACAGAAAAGGAAACTAGATGAAAATACTTGGTTTTGCATCTTGTTTTGTGTCTTGAGTGTTCACTTACGTCATAATGATAGTTTCAAATTTGTATATCATAGGAATATAGTTTTCTGAATATAAAGAAGGAGAAATAAAAACATATTTATTTTATATTTATTTGTAAGTATATTAATTCCATAAAATGTGAAATTTTGCATATGCATTGAAATTTCTTTTTATGGAAACCTGTGTGTTACTTTTAAAATGAAGTAAATATGAAATTGCAGCTTCTAAAATGTCCCAAATTCCTCTTTGACTCCTACTTCTATGAAGTTTGGTCATCCCTGATATCTGTATTTTTTGTATATGAGAAAGTGAAAATGAACACAAAAGATAAATTATAATACATAATTGACTTTAAAATGCTCATAAAGCTGCAGTGAGATAAAGTAGTTAATGAAGATTAAAATTTGATTGTATTGTTAAGTAATAAAGAAGTATCGTTAAATGAGATAAATGACCAAAATTAATCATTAATAACTAATGAACCGATGAGTCTACATCTGTGGAGCTACAAAATGATTGTAATAAAATAAAATTTGTTTTAAAAAGTATGAAGAAAAAAAGCAATGCTACATTTATTAGAATAAATAAAGTTAATAATTTATGTGTCTCGGATAACTAGTTTTTGTGCATCACATTTAAATTCAATTATAATTACAGTTTGTTACAAAGACAGTAAATAACTCATGAACTGTCCTAACAGAAGTTAAATATAAACAGTTTGGTAACAAAAATTTACAAACTTAGCTTGTAAATTTGGTTAAACATTGAAGTATCATTTTGATAAAATTCCATTTGGCTTTCAAAAATTAAAAATTGTTAATGGCTCTGCTCATTTTTGAGCTGTCTTACTGCTGGTAGAAATAGTTTTCACCTTGCCACTGGCAGAGATTGGTGTTAAAACCAGAAAAAATTGGCAGAATTAAATAAGGTATTTAACCCGCGAGCACACGCACCGATCCGACGAACACGAGAACACGCGCCGGGTATGTCATACCCGAATAAAAAAATTGTAATTAAAAATTTGTCAAAAATTAATCGTTTTTTAAAAGAAATTAAATGTAAAACCAAGTTAATACTTCATTTTAGACAAAATAGGAAACAATAAGGAGAGGAAAAATTATTTACTTACTTCTTGAACATTGTTTACAAAATGAGGTCATATGTTCTATACATATACTTTTGCTACAATTTTCACAAATGAATCTAGTCTTTCTATCTTTTTTCTTGGAGCACTCTGTACACCTCTTGTAAGTCATTTTAGGTTTTTTGGGGGACAGTTCATTGTTAACATGTTCATCGGTGGTCAGTGTTTGTCCAGAATCAGGAACCACAGATGCTCACCGTCGTTCATTTTGAACATTTTCTATTAGCTGCATCCCTAAGGCTTTGAGAAAAGTACTCATCCCGTTTACGAGTAAAATTTTCTCGTATGGAATCAATATAAATATTTGTATTGTCAACTACATGTTTTAACATATCTTCATCGATAAGCAATGCCAAGGAATCTAAAGGTGTTGAGAAGTCTTTAGAATACTTTGTATTTCCAGGGAGTTTAGTTATAATATTTTTGGTGCCAATTCTAACATTAGTCCGGAATTTATTTTTGTTCCATTTTTTCCAACATAAAAACTCATTGCTACATTCTGTTTCTGTATCTGAATCACTACTCTCTATGGGTGAATCATGATTACTATTATATTCTTCATCATCAACATCTTCCTCTTCTTCACTAAATGAATCCTCATCAGAAGAAACTGTTTCAAGGAGATTTCTCAATCTTTTCATCTCTTCATCATAAGGAATATACGGCGCCATGCTTACAACTCAAGAAAAACCTATACTAAAAGCTTGAAAATGAGAAGTGCGAAGTGACTCACTGAGAAACTTGAGTACACGCACGGGTATGACATGCCCGAACAATGCTGTTCCTAAAAAACCGTTGCACTTGCCACCTCAGGAATTTCCCCCATTTAAGTATGTGACCTTGAACTCAGCTACACCAAGTTTCGACCTTTTATGAAATAATGGGCGAGAAATATACAAAAAGAAAAATGCACATAAGTATGACATACCCGCCGCGTGTGCTCGCGGGTTAAATGGCTTTTTAGTTAATAGTAATTAATAATTTATTAAATTAATTTTCATATGTAAAGATAAAATGTACAGCTATAATTAAAAATAAGCATGCAGGACAAGTTATGAAAACATTACTATACATATACAGATGAAACTTGTTTATGTACAATAGTGCCATTTGTTGGCATTTATGAAAAATATGAAATAGTGCCATAACTCACCAGGAAAAAAACAGCATCATGCCAGCCTTGCTGCTTGGATTTCTATTGTGCTACTAAGGATGCCCATAAAGAAGTATATTGATGCTGTAATGATAGTGATAAAATCAGTATCCTTTATTTTGTGATGTGTAATGGCAGGATAGTGAGCTTAGAATACATCATTATTCCTATTAAATTCTTAGTCAAAAATACATCATTATTCCTATTAAATTCTTAGTCAAACAGATTTTGCCTGAGCTTTTTTTTTTTTTCATATAGCTATGAGGCAGACACCTTGTATTTTAAGTTTTATTATTAAGCAGTTAATTGGTTTATAATTCTTATAAAAATTCATTGTAAATGCTATTGCAGCTTTGTTGTGGAACTGTATCTTGGGGGACTGATTACATTCTTATTGGACACTGGGTAGGACAAATTATCTTCAAATTATGAAATTATCTTCACTTTTCATGTTTCCCAGAAAAGTGAAACTTCACATATTCTATTGCATAAGTCTGGAGAAATTTTTGGTGTAATAAAATCATCTGTAATGATAAACTTAAAGCATTCTGTGTTGAAGATGACTATTATTCAAAAAAATGGAGAATGGATGTAGCTAAATAGATATCTGCTGTAAGCTCCAAATAGTTGGTACTATATGGAAAAACCGAGACTTGATATTTTCTACTCATTAAATATATATAAGAAGTAAAAAAGTAGTAAATCACAAAAATGTTGATGTTGAAGAAGCAGTGTTGAAATGGTTGGTTCACCACCCAAAGAAATGCAGTCTTTCATTATCTGAATAAATACTACTCATAAATACTTATTTTTGATATAGATTTATAATTGGAGAAATGGGTCTAAACTATGAATATTATAATAAGTATTTTATCGTGTAAAAATTGTTAATGTATGGTGAAAATTAACAACAGAAAAAAAATTAAGAATTGTTCATAATAATAATAGTAATTAATTCATAAGATTTTTTTAATTTTTATGTTAGAGGTGTTATTTGTGTTTCTTGGAAGATGCTACATTGCTAATTAGCCTTTTTTACAGTTCATCAAACTGTTTTTACTCTATTTTGTGTTATGATTAGTTTTTTCCACATCAGATCAGATACAACGAATCAAACTTTTGGTCCCTTGAAGCGGGTCCTTGATAGCGGGGTTTGACTTTACTTTGATATCTGATATTAAGTGTTTTATGTATCAGAATGGTATCAGATAATTGTGTTAGTGTGATAGCTGTCAAATTAATAAATATTTTTATTATTTTAATGCAATTTTAGAAAATAATTATTGTTTGAATTTAAAATTATTTTACTTTTAATTGTATCTTTTAGGACTTATTTTCGTTAGATATTTCTACAGCATCAGAAACAAGTTATACTGTTGTACCTAAGTAAGTAAATAAAAATGTTTCACCATGAGTTAATTTTGTGAATATATTACATTTATATTATTTAATTTTTTTTCCAGTTCTCAATGAATTATGTTTGTTCATTATCTGAATAAAAACTAATTTTTATTGTGCTGAAAAATTTTATAAATTTTTGCTTTCAAGCATACAAATAAAAAAAATATACAGTGTGATACTGTATTTATTAACTCTATTGTTTTGATGTGTTTAATATAAATATTTGCATAAAATAATTATTAAAATTATGTAAAAAATGCTTTAGAAAATGGATTTCTAACCTTACCGTTAAAGCAGCTTTACAACTTGTCTTAGCCATCAGAGCATAAAAACCACATTTATCACTAAACCAAAATCATTATTCAATCAAAAACTATTTTTTTGCTTACTTTATCAAAAAGAAAATTGGCTATAATTATCAAAAATATCTTGAATGTTTTTAGTTGAAATTCTAACAGGTATCACACAGATATTCAATAACAGGAAACTAGGATTAGTCATGATATCTCTTAGTAATCTTCAGAAATACAAAAACAATCTTGGAATTTAAAGTGAAGTATGAGTAGCGACAAATAGTATGTTATGCCCATCTTAGGAGCGTAAAAACTCTGAATGTGTGAAATGCAGTGCCAACCAAAAAGGGGTTAAAGACATAACAGTATTGAAAACAAGAGACGAGTGACTACTAATTCTGTAAACATTTTGAAGATTCTTTGGCTGTTGCACTTTTAAACTGCTGTGCAATTAAGTATTCTATTCTCCTTTTGTACTTTTGTAGAGTTTTTGTGAAATTACTGGGTCATGTACTCCTCTTTCCATAAATTAATATGGCAAAAATTTACAGAGACCTTAATCCAAACAATATATAAATTAACTCCATGTCTGTATGCAGTTTTTTAATTTGCCTTATATAAGTTTTATAAAGTTATAAAAGCAAGAAAACATGCTTAAGAAGTAAGCATGTTTTCTTGCTTTTATAACTTTGAGAGCTTATTTGTGTGTACACCATATTTGCTCATGTATTCTCCCCTTTTCCTATAATTTTACTATTTAAAAGCCAGGAGGGGAAAAATACACAGAATATTCCATTTCTAAAGCGATGACCTATATAATAAACATAGCACATTAAAAAGCATACATAAAGACACGTAAATATTATATATTTCAGAGGACTTATCAATTTCAAAATTCATTTTCCTTACATTGAAGAGTTTCCTATTTGTACTTATATAGAAGTTTGTAAATCGTATATCGAAAAATCTCTATATGGGGGAAGGAAATATGTGAGTAAATGCAGTACGGTACAAAGTCCGTAATCCGGACTCGTTGGGACTTCGGAGATTCTGGATTAGGGGTTTTTCCAGATTATAGATCATCAGTTTAAATCTGGTAAGATGGCATGCAGAAATTATACTATTGAAAATATGAAACCGTAATTCCTGAAATAAAAAGCAGTTATGATCTAAAGGGTATCAAATTTCACAAAAAAAAAGCTTAATATTTATTTGTTTACTTCGTTAAACATTTCTTTTAACGTGTGCATGTATGTGCATTCTCTAGGTGCATGCATAACGTTTGTGGCTTTGAGGTTCGGATTATAGATCATTCCGGATAATGGACGTCGAGATTACGGACTTTGTACTGTAGTTATTTTAAAGTTCCATATTGAAAATATTTCACATAAAGAATATTATCTTCTAGAATAGTGGTTCTTAATCTTTTTTTACTCTGTATACTCCTGTCACGACTGTTAAAAGATCATTCCCCTTTCCTTTCCAACATTGAAATATGCATACATAAATTCATTTAAATTTAGACTATTTTTTAACTTGTTCACGAATTAAACAAAAAAGCAAATGCTGATAAATACCAAAACTTTAATAAAAGTTGTATTTTGTAATCATAACTGTAACTAAAGACTTAACAGATAATTAAAGGGCTAACTGCATTCCCTCCCCTGAAGCTATGAAATCATTCCCACTTGAGAATCCCTATTCTAGAATAATTCATTGTACTTTCCTTTTGAGGGAAGGGAGCCATATTGACTATCAATTTTACAGTGAAGTTGTACATGCCATTAGAACTTTTCTTGTAACAGATATACTGGTGAAAACTAAACTGACCTGGCATATTGTAAAAAAATTCATGTATCTTTGAAATTAAACATTTGACAACATTCATTCTTAATTTTATTATTGATTTCAGTTAAAAAAATTGAGTATATTTTATTACATAAATGGACAAGTTCTTTCTTCTTCAGAAGAAATTTGTCTTATATAATTTTTTCAAATTTTTAGTTAAAATGAAGTATAAGGAGCATGCATATTTGGCAATTTAATCTCGTAACCTTACTTATTGGTGTGCAAAGCAATTCATCTTTTTACAAAGTTTATGCAACTCGTGTTTTTTTTTTTAAAGTGAAAACAGATCACTTTGTGCATGGGGAGAAAAACAGTAATATGTCTTATAATATAATATATGTAATTTTTAATGTGTACAATGCCAGGGGAGTGCACACTGTCAAATTTGTACAATTCGCTGATTTTTTTCAAGTGAAATAGATTACTGTGTACATGAGGAGAACAACGGTAATGAATCATGTAATATTGTATATGTTCAATGTATCATTTAATCTTTATTTAACAATTTTAATTTGTGTTTCAGTTGTTTTCTTTTGATATTGTTAGGTATTCATTTTGAAGTATTTCTTTCCCTCACTAGATGGTGCCAATAGTTTCACTAGTAAGAAAATTTAATTTTTTTGGGAGGGGGTCTTGATAGACACAGTGTGTTAACAGTTCAGGTTCGTGATAAGTATTGGCTTGTATGAAAAGTGCAAAGTTAGGCACTCTGGCATATCAGTTTATTTTACAGCCATTAATAAGAAATAGAGAGAGAGGCTGCAACATTTATGAAATAGCAGTTAACTATTTGTTTTTCATTTTCAATGTTTAATGTTATGTCAAAAAATAAATTGCATTTCCTTGAAGAAGGTTATTTTTTCAGCTGTTAAGTCTTTAATTACAGTTATGACTATAAAATATAACTTTTATATACAGTCCCTGCACACTTATCTGTTAAGTCTTTAGTTACAGTTAGACTATAAAATGTAACTTTTATATACAGTCCTTGCACACAAGAAAAGGTAATGAAGTTTTTTCTTATTTTTAAACCAGATTAATAACAGAACCTGCATTCATCAGTGGATGTTGACTTCGATCAACAGTAGTTGATTAATTACAGATATGTTGATAGTTTTTGCTGAATTGACAATAAATATCAGAAGTTTGGTAATATTTTTAGAAAAGGTCACCAACTTGCCCCCTTATAAGCAAATTTTGCTGAGGTCCTGTAAAGATCATTGTGAATATTCTTTTCTCTATGAATTCAATATTAATATTTATTTTTCTTTTAATAAAATTTTACTTTTATGATCTTGTATTGTTTCAAGGTTTATTTTAGTTGTAAACTACTGTACTGTATGAGTAGTTTGTGTCTGCAGTAAAGCATTGATTGAAGATTATGCCTAATTTTTTTTTTCCTTTGTAGGTATGAAGCAAGTTTTAATGAAATTCTTGATAAGAAAGATGAGAGTGATGCTAAATCTGAAGCTTCTGATGGAAAGTAAGAAAACTTGATAATTAATAAATATTTTTAAAAAATGTAGTATTTGTCTGTGTCTGTAATTGATAAAAAGTGTGACCAGATAGTTATTGTTCTTTTTTTGTTAATTGTAAAATAAATTACAATTCTGTTAGAATATTTTGGTTTTCACCCTGAGATTGGGAGGGCAAAAATAAGAGGTATTTGAATACCATAGTACCTAAACTATTTAAAATGCAGGGGGTATATATATATTTTTAATACATTTTAGTCAAGGAAAGTTTTTAATTAATGGTCATAAGAGAGATATTCTCAAATTACTCTCTGTTTTGTTATTTTGGTATGATTTTGGTTCTTGTATTGAAGTTAATTAAAGTTGTTTTAATACAATTTTTATTCTTATATGTTATTTAATATGATTTTGGTTCTTGTATTCAAGTTAAAGTTATTTGAATACAATATTTATTCTTATGTTGAAGTATTATATAAATATGTAAGGTATAACAAAATATGATAGCTGCTTTAAGAAATGATTGGCAACCTCATAATTAACTGTTCTAGATTTTATGCTCTTCCCTACCTTCATCTGTTCTCCCAAATTTGAGATTTTTCCATGTTACATTACAACTTAAAATTAACCAGTCGCAGCTTAGAGTACTTTCTGCATCTACTAGGTATAAATACCGCTCACAAGTAATTATCCCTTTTCCTTTCACTGCTGAAAATCCCCCCCCCTGCTGCTATGTTTACTCATCTCGGATGATGTCGCCCCCTTTAACCTGTATATGTAAGAAGTTTTTATAATACTATATATATATATACATATATTGAATGATCTTAAAATTCACTTAGTTTGAAAACAAGTTTTTCTAATACTTGCATAATAAGCTGCAAAGTAAGATAATAATAATTTATTTACTAAAGAAATATTGATTATATTATCTCCTAATATAAATTTACATTGCGGCTTCAGCTCTTGTATTCATAATTGTATTCATAAGCACCAATATCGGTACCATCTTGTATTCATAAGCACCAATAATCGGTTTACACAAAATTCAATTTTGAAGCACCAATCTTGAATATGAAATCATCACTAAAAATTTTTTTACATTATATCAAAATATTAATCTGAATCACACATTGAATCACTTTTCTGAAAAATTTTCACTAATCACTTTACACGTAACGCATACCACGGCACACTTGAAAGACACTTCGTTTTCGTAGCCGACGAAAAGCAAAACACAGGGAAATTCTGTTTGCATATGAATTGCCATGCCCTTGACCCACTTTTGAATTTAGAAGTGCATTAGAAATAAATCCAGAAGACTTTTTTTTCCCAACATAGAATAAAATCCTACTGGCTAATTAATAAAGCTGTGATATTTTAGCAGTCGTGGACATGAATGACGAGGCTTGGCATCAAAGTCCGGGCATTGCTGTGGCTGAGTGTTAAAGCGGCATCCAATGATGACACAGAAGGATTTAGCATTTAATTGCACATCTTTATTCCATTTGAACGGCAGATTATTATTCTTTTATATTAACTTTTCCAAATTGCATATCAAATAGTGTTTTGAACTGAATATGATAAAATCTAGGCTTTTGATGTCCTAATTATTCTAACAAAGGGAAGATGAGAAGCACAACAACATAGATCTTACTAGCAGAGGGAGAGAGGAGCTTCTGGTGCAAAATTGCACGAATTCTGTAATTATAGAAGCAGTTACATAATAAGCTCGAATGTTCTGGAAAGTACTGGTCTAGGGAGAAGATCCTAAATTGCAGAAAGTTAATTAAAGGTTGCTGGTTCGCATAGAGCAAAGACGTCCTATTTTTTATATTTTACATATGCACCCGGTGGCCATAATTAAACTGACAGTGCTCACAGTGTTCTGTAGCTCGATCTATTTGCGAGAATGACGCCACATTTTGCAGGAAGATTAAACAAGACGGGGGACAAAGGGTTCCGCAAAAAAAAAAAAAAAAAAAAAAAAAAAAATTAGTTCCAAAAGTCACCGCTAGGGAAATATTTGGCACGGTGTAATAGAAAATAGAGTGTTAACAAATGCTAATTAATATGGAATAAAATTACCTTTTATTATTCACATTTTCTGATTTAGTTTAAGTGCAATATGCCAACACTTTTAAAAAAGCGTAAAATCTACATAAACACCGATAAAGTCTCGTGATCTGCATTATCACATATGCTGAGCAGAAGAAGTTCTTTATTCAAATTTCACGTTACATCCATTCGCACAGTGCCAACTGCTTGGGTTTTAAAAGGCAATGTGTTACGTTTCGAATCAATCAGATTGAAAGTTTATATGCAATGTCTCCTTCTTTAGTCGAGCGTGCATTACTGGTCAAATTCTTTTACCTCAAATTCAACCAGTGCAACGCGTCAGCCGCTCTTCGTGCTTTTAGAACGCACAAAAAAAATGCGCAAAGGTAGTGGTCCTGTGTCAGTTAATGGGCTAAAAGCAATGGTTGCGACATTTGAGAAAACAGGTTCTCTGAAGGTTCAGTCAGGCAGAGGACGAAAACCTGTACCACAGGATACAATCGAAGCAGTTGCCACGGCGATTGTCGACAGAGGACCAGACAATATTGCTGCCACCTCTAGTGCTCGTGGAGTAGCTTGGAATATGGATATGCCTTACAGTACGGTATGGAAATCTTACTAAAGATTATCAACTTTTATTCGTACAAGATCAGCCGTGTACAGGAGTTACTGTACCCCGACCATGATAAGTGATTGACTTTTGCTCTCACCTTTCTTGCCAGAATGGAGGTGGATGATGCTTAGCCGTGGAAAACCTTATGGGGAGACGAGGCCCACTTTTACCTGAATGGAACTGTGAATACCCAGAACTGCCGAATTTGGGATGACAAAAGAATCAAGTAATTCCTTACATTGGGGGGGGGGGCCACATCTATTACAGCGGAAAGTAGGGAAGAAACAAAACATGAACGCATCAGATAATAGATGCACGAGAGTATAGACATAAGAAAGAAACGGGGTCTTCACCCAGAACTACGGGGACCTGTAGGGAGCCCGAATCTAAATTTTTAAATCTGTTTTATTAATTTTTTTTCTGATATTTTTTTTTAAAAGGAAAAAAAAATTTAACTGTACAAAAAATTTAAGAAACTTCCTACGATGCCTGGCAAATTCGAGCAAGGTGGCATAAAATGGGGGAAGGGGGGTGGGCGTTGTATTACTTTTTGCCCAATTACTTCCTAGGGAATAAAAATATTTATTGTAAAAAATAGTCTGTAAAAAAGATTGCTTTTTGAGCAGCTCTCAAACACGGAAAACATGTAAACGTTAGTTGTTGTAAGCGAAAAAATAAGTATTGTGTTTGTTCCAACTTTGGGGACGGGATATAATCAAATCTGCACAAATAGCTTTCAGATTTTGGAATCCATTTCCACCTTTTAAATCTGGTAACCTATAATAACGGGTACAGTATTGCCGGTTCTTCTTCATAATTCAAAATTTAGGATGTTCCCAAATATATATCTGCCTTCCTTCTTTCCAAATTTTTTTTAATTGGATATAATTTTTGGCAGTTCGAAATAGTTTTGTATAAAACGAAAAAAAATTTTTAACTTAATAAAGTTTGGGATCCTATATTTCATTAGAAAAAAAAACATACATTAAATTCCTCAACATGTAAATTTGTTTGCGTGTTTAAATTAATTCAAAAAACAAATTTGTTTGTAATAAAGGTACGGAAATTAAATTTACATATGGTTAGCCAAAACCTAAATTTTGAGCCGGATTTTGCAAGTAAAAAATGTTTTTGAATTCTTTAATTTTTTTTGTTTTTTTTTAAAAAACCCAATAAAGTAATTACTGTTGTTGCCGAAAATTAACTCAGAGAACAGTTCTTTATTTTCAAGCTAGTTCAACAGGTAAAAAGACAGACAAAAATTTTGAACTGCTATAAATTAAGAATTCGGCAAGTAAATTCTTGGCAAAAACTAAAAAAATACACCAAGATTAGTTGAACTTTGTAATTTTGATTACAAAATTTTCAGAATCGACATATTAAAAAACTGACCAGAAAAGTCTGATTTATGTCAAAATACCTATGTAAAATGGTGCCATATATTAATCTTCAAGTTGCGTTTTTCACAATTTCGTCAATTGGTAGAACAGAAGATATCTTACAAGTGTACATTCGCAGCTGGAGCATCTGAAATTCCATGATAAATCGATCTAGATCGTGCAGGTGTGCAGAGAGTTCATGCAAGCTGCCATTACGTTTCAAAGAGGAGCATTAAAATGCAGGCAATAGTAAAAGTTAATCACCACTCTGCCCTTGCTATGAGCTCACTGTGACTTGTATGTAACTGATGATTTCGCTGGGGCATTCAAAGCGGATAAGAATCTTCGCGTTTAAGAAGCTCTTTAAAATAAAAAGAAAAATTCATCATTTATGCAATGAAAGTTTGAAAACGGAATATAAGAAAAAAATACTCTTTCATTTCTACTTAAATGAAATTATGCCTTTCCCCCTCCCCCAATTTCAAAAAGATGCTAATCCAGATCATAATGGGGTCAAGGCCACACAAAAGGATCTCGGAAAGTGAATATAGCTATCAAGTCCTCCAACGTGTAATTTTGACATTTGTGCATGAGTTCTGTTTTAAGTAAACCATTTTTACCATAACACATTAAAATTTGTATGAATAGCCATTGTTGTTGCATAATATAAATAGTGTTTCTTTATCTTAAAACTATTTTCTTTTTAATACTTTAGTTAAAAGTATGATAATGTCAGTGGTATAGTACAAGAAAAATATATTCATGGATAACTGAAATTCTTTAATTCTGGCTTAGCATCACAGAAGTGTATATGTGTATTTAAAAAACAAAATATGTCATTATAAAGTAGCAGCAGTAAATAACTCAGTCAGTTCTTTATTTTAAGCATAGTTGAAGCTGGTAAATACAGTTGAACTGCCTGGCAGTTCAACTGTATTTACCAGCTTCAACTAAATTTCAATTTA